TTAAATAGTTTAAATAATTTAAATAATTTAAATAATTTAAATAATTTAAATTATTTAAATCCGGGAGGGGGGGGGGCCGGGCCTCCTTTTGCAGGAGGAATTAAATAATTTAAATATGAAGGCCCCGAATTAAATATTCATATTTAAATCGAGGCCTTCATATTTAAATTATTTAATTCCTCCTGGGGGAGGAGGCCCCCCCCCCCCTCCAGGATTTAAATTATTTAAATTATTTAAATTATTTAAATTATTTAAATTATTTAATTCCCGGGCCCGATTTAAATAATTTAAATATGAAGGCCACGATTTAAATATGAATATTTAATTCGGGAGCTTCATATTTAAATTATGTAAATCGGGCCCGGTAATTAAATAATTTAAATAATTTAAATAATTTAAATCCTGGAGGGGGGGGGGCCGGGCTTCCTCCCGCAGGAGGAATTAAATAATTTAAATATGAAGGCCCCGAATTAAATATTCATATTTAAATCGGGGCCTTCATATTTAAATTATTTAATTCCTCCTGCGGGAGGGCCCCCTCAATCAGCTTCATCATCATCATCCTCATCCTCATCCGCATCATCATCATCATCTTCATTATCGTCATCATCTTCATCATCTATCATCATCATCTTCATCATCTTCATCATCTTTTTTCATCATCCCCATCATCTCTCTCATCTCCACGGTTGTTCCAATATGTTTCATGTGCATCCTTGACATCAATGATCCCAATCAGCTTCATCATCATCTTCATCATCTTCATCATCATCATCATCTTCATCATCTTCATCATCTTCATCATTTTCATCATCTTCATCATCTTCATCATCTTCATCATCTTCATCATCTCCATCATCTTCATCATCTTCATGATCTGCTTCATCTGCTTCATCCTTCATCTGTTTCTTATGTTTCATTGCTTCTTGGGGCCCAGGAGGGCCTGGTGCAGGAGCAACTTTGCCGGTCAAAACTTGCCGGGATCCCCTTGGCACCCTGGAAAAGTGATGCAAATACCACACAAAACGGGAAAGGGTAGGAACAACTTTGTCGGTCAAAATTTGCCGGGATCCCCTTGGCACCCTGGAAAAGTCCTGCAAATACCACACAAAACGGGAAAGGGTAGGAACAACTTTGCCGGTCAAAATTTGCCGGGATCCCCTTGGCACCCTGGAAAAGTCCTGCAAATACCACACAAAACGGGAAAGGGTAGGAACAACATTTGCCGGTCAAAATTTGCCGGGATTCCCTTGGCACCCCGGAAAAGTGATGCAAATACCACACAAAACGGGAAAGGGTAGGAACAACTTTGCGGG